TGCTCTCTCCCACTGCTGCTTCCAAGCGGTGGCATTTGACACAATTTATTAAAAAAGCCAGAGCGTTTTCCCAGGTGGGGGCGGGGCGGCTGAAGGACTGGGCCAGGAAGACGGGCTGCTGTACAACTGTCCCCGCGCTCAAGGAAGACGAGCCCCTGGTGGCCGCTCTGCGACTACGTTTTCTGCCATTGTCACTCTTGATTGTTTGCTCGTTTATTATTTTTTAAAGATTTATTTTTATTGCAAAGTCAGATCTATACAGAGTAAGATCACCTGTTGATCCACTCCCCAAATAACTGCAACGGCTGGAGCTGAGCTTAGCCAAAGCCAGGAGCCAGGAGCCAGGAGCCCCTTCCGGGTCTCCCACGCGGGTGCAGGGTCCCAAGGCTTTGGGCCGTCCTGACTGCTTTCTCAGGCCACAAGCAGGGAGCTGGATGGGAAGGGGGGCTGCTGGGACATAAACTGGTATCCACATGGGATCCCAGCATGTGCAAGATGAGGACTTTAGCTGCTAGGCTACTGTGCTGAACCCAGCCTTTTAACTTTTTTAGAAAATATTTATTTGGAAGGCAAAGTTGCGGAGCTGAGGGGCAGAGAAAGATTCTTCCACCCACTTCCCAAATGGCTCCAGCCGCCAGGGGTGGGCCAGGCTGAAGGCATGAGCCTGGAGCCTCTCTGGGTGCATGCAGGGATCCCAGTAGTTGAACTGTCTTGAGCCGCCTTCCCAGGCACACGAGCAGGGAGCTGGGGCAGAAGTGGAGCAGCTGGGACTCATCCCTATGCCATGCCGGTGCCATCGATGATGCCTTCACTCGCTGTGCCTCAGGTCTGGCCCCAGTTTGTTTTTTCTGCATGACAGGTCATGTGATTCTTCCCCGCAGTTTAGTCTTTATCCCAATGCTAGGTGGCTTTGTGCTCCCAGTGGAAGGATGCATTACTAGACCCCATTATTATTATTTTTAAAGATATGTATGGGTCAGACTCATGCATCAGCCTGAGTTGGGCTTGTTAGCATGGAACATTGCTGACCACCACACGCCAGTCCATACAAAAGCTAGGCCTGGGGCCTGTCTAGCAGGACTAGATCCCAGTACCTGACTGAATGTTGGAACAGGGGACAGGTCACATTAGGCAGGGCCATGACACTAACCAGCACGCAAGAAAACCAGGCCCAGGGGTAGATTTTGTGGGAGATTTGTGGGTCAAACCCTGTAGAAATGCAAATCTCATTGGTTAGCTCGAGAGTTGGGATGGTGATGGGCTGAGCTAGGTGTGGTCACGGAGCCCACTGACACTCAAGGATACGAGGACCGGGAATAGTCTGGACAGGTCCAGGCTGCAGCACCCACATACGCATCCTAAACAGGGTGTGGGGTGGGATGGGCCACAACATTCACCAGCTCCTACTAGGCCAAGAAAGAGGAACAGAGCATGCCGGGCAAGGGCCTAGCACTTGCTGGCATGATTGAGATCTGGGTCTGGGGGTGGCCCAAGCGAGTGGAGGAACTTGGGAAGTTCCCCTAGTGGGTCATAGCTCCCACTGCTGAGCACATGGTTCAGGCCTGGTGTTGGACAGGCTGGGCAAGTTAGCTCCAACTGTTGACAAATGTGTGGGTTGATTTTGGAAGGGAGTGGACTAGGCAGGGCCAAGCAAATCTTAGCTCACTGGCAAGTGCAGAAACCAGGCTGGAGCACAGGTCATGCTGGGTTAGGCTGTCACACCTACCGGTTTGCATGAGCCAGAGATGGGAGCAGACTGAGTAGGGCCAGGTTGCATCACCTGCCAGTGAGAGCTGGGCCTGGGACAGGCCGGGCCAGGCCAGGCTACAGCATCCAAGGCAAAGGCCAAGACAGGTGAGGGTCTATGCCAAGCTGGGTCAGAGCAACTGGCACATGCAAGGTCTGTGGCTCAGAACAGGCCTGGTTGGGGAGCAAAGGGAGCACCCTGGCTGGGTTGTTGTTCCCACTGTGAGTGTGAGGGCCAGAGTGGGGGCTGCTGTCTGGTCTGGACATGGCTGCAGTGTGTGAGGGCCAGAGTGGGGGCTGCTGTCTGGTCTGGACATGGCTGCAGTGTTGCTCGGCACAAGCGTGGACTGGGACTGGGAGCACTGGACTGGGCTAGATACCAGCACCCACTAGTGCTTGTGAGAACCAGGGTAGGTGTAAGACGGGCTAGGCTACGTCTCTGCTCCTGCTGAGCCATGTGTGAGCTGTGTCTGGGTGTGGATCAGCCTTGGCTGGCTGTAACACCAAACAGCAAAAACTGGAATGGGTGAAGGCCAGTCAGAAAAGACCACTATTCCTGCTACAACAGGGGGTGAACTAAGTAAGGCTGGCCCATGGGCCTAGCGGTGTGCGTGAGATATGGCATTGAGAGAGGTTCTGATGGAGGAGCTTGGGGGACTCCTCTGTCAGGACACAGTCCCTGCAGGTGAGTATAAGAACCGTGATAGGGAGCAGCCTGGGCCAAGCCAGGCAATGGTACCCACCGACATACATTCGGCACAGGTTGCGAGTGAATCAGGCTAGGCTAGTTAATATCATCTGCTGGCGAATCTGAGCACCAGAATGGAGTATGGGTTAGGCTGGGTTGGATCACAACATAAGCCAGTTCACATGAGGCCAGAACTGGGGCTAGCTGGACTGGGCTAGGTTAGCCTCCACCAGCATGAGTTGGAATTTGGGGTGGTCTGGGCCCAGCCAGGCTACAGCACCCACTGACAAATGTTGAGGAGAAGCGGGACATGCCAGACTGAGCCATAGCACCCAACCAGCACACATGAGACCCGGGGGAGGGAGGGGAAAAGCTGGTAGGGGACTGTGGAGGACTCCCCTGCTGGACCACCACTCCCACTGGAGACTATAAGTTGGGATGGGAGCAGACTAGGCCAGGCAGGGCTACAACACCTGCTGGCCTCATGTGGACTGGATCAGGGGAAACTCAGGCTGGGTTGCAAGCATAAGTCAGAGTGGGTGTGGGTTGCTTGGGCTTTGCTGCAGCATCAGCTGGCAGATGCTGGCATGGGGGCCAATTCTGTCAAGTTAAACTGGAGTACCACCTGGAGAGTGCAAGATCCTGGAGTGGCAGTGGGCCCAGTAGGGAAAGAGTGGACACCTCTCTCTTGGGTTGCCACTCTGACTGGTGAGCATGGGAACCAGGACTGGGGTAGGCATGACTAGACAGAGAGTGGCAGCCACTGGCAGGTATGTGGCCTGGATGGGGGTGCTGGTTGGGTTGAACTAGGTTTCAATGCCCATCGACATGTATGAGAGCTGAATGGGATGTGGGATAGACTGGACCAGTCTGCTGTACATAATGGCAAGCATGGGAACCAGGGCACGGGACAGGACTGATAGGGGTTGTTGTAGGTTGCTCCAACTAGGCTGCAGCTCCCACTGCTGTCCGTGAAGACCGAGCGTGTGGTGGGCAGGATCGGGCTGGGCTGCAACACCCATTGGTTTGTGTAGAAGACAGGGCTGGAGACAGAATTGACCCAGCAATTGCAACCACCAGCATGTGCATAAGCCGATTGGGGTGATGGACTGTGTTGGACCCTGTGTTGGCAAGCACACACAAGAATCAGGTCTGGGATCACCTCAGATGAAGTTTCTATGAATTGCTGGACTCAGAACCCCAACCGTGAAGAGAATTGCAGGTTCTGCAGTGCATGTCAGAGCTGGGTCTCGTCAGTGGCCTAGACGGAGCAGTGGACAGCATATCCAGGTGCACATGGAGGACACAGCAGTCCACTGGAGTCTGCACAGGACACCTGGTGCCACGACAGAGGACGGAGGACAGAACAAATCAACCCACTACCCCAGCCAAGTGTCGGCAGTGAGTCTCCTGAGCAAACAGACTCTAAGGTGGACTATGTTGCTCAGTGGATTCTGGAGAGGTGTCATCGTGCTTGCAGTGGCGAGATTGACAGTAATTTGGAACTGCTGAACTATGGAAAGCTCATGAGCAGGACCCTCAGAGCATACTCCACACTGGGGACCCTGGGGTGGCGGGGGTGGCTGTCCTCCATCGCAGGGTGCAGAGGCGTTTGGGAGGCTGGGTGTGGCTTCTCCCCTCATCTCCTCCTTCCCCCAGATACAGGAAGGAAAAAAAGAGAATGCGGAAATGGTGACCCACCTCCTGTAGCCCTTGACCCTTATCGCCCTCATCAACTATGTAAATATCATCAACCATAAAAATAATAATTTAAAAAACATTTATTTTAATTCTATTTTTTTTATTGGAAAGTTAGATATACAGAGAGGAGGAGAGACAGAGAGGATTGTTGATTCACTCCCCAAGCAGCTGCAATGGCTGGAGCTGTGCTGATTCGATCTGAAGCCAGGAGCCAGGAGCCTCTTCTGGATGCCCCTTGCACTGGCTGCAGGTCACCTGTAGCCACTTTGTGTTTTTAATACAGAAGACTGACAGGTATCCTGAGGGGCTGAGGGCCTGAGTTGGGGGCAGCATGGCAGAGGGGGTCTAGGGCAGAAGAATGTAAACAAGGAAACTTCAAGTGTCTGGCGGAGTGACACAGAGGGAAGGAGGGAGAGGGAGAGAGAGCAGAGATCTTATACTTTGTGGGTTTATGCCCAACTGGCTGCTAGGGTCAGAGCTGAGCTGGGCTGCTCCAACGCTGGGAACCAGGAGCTTCTGGGGGTCCAAGCACTTGGCTCATTTTTCTGTGCTTTCCTAGGGACATGACCAGGGAGCTGGATTGGAAATGGAGCAGCTGGGATTTGAACTGGTGCTGTGATTCAGGGGTGCTGCAGCTGGTGGCCAACCAGAACCCTGGTCTCCTGGTGTGAAAACCAATCCTGAGAGGGGAGCTTGCAGTTCGGTGAGGTCTGTGCTTCCTTCAGCCTGGGGCAGAGTGGCAAGGGAGTGGGTCCAGGCCCAGCCCTCCTTGTTCAGGCCCCAGGGCGCTTATTCCACTCCCAGCCTCCCAGGAGGGCAGCCTGGGAACTGGGGCGAGGGCCCAGGGCTCTGGTTTTCTGGATCTTCAGCGCAAAACGCCCTCTGGCTCCAAGAGCAGGTAATCTTGCAGGAGTAGAGGCTGGGGGAGCAGGGGGATGAGGCAGCCGCACCTCCTGCCCAGCGTCTTGCGAATGGCACAGCGGCACAGGTGCTGCAGGCAGCACGGGCCCTGGGCCAGGGCCAAGAAGGACTGGTAGAAGGCGGGGTGCTTCTGGAAGGGAATGAGTGCAGCATCAGGGGTCGCTCATGGTCCTCTGCCTGCCGAGACCCCCTAGGGAATACACATGGCCTCACACAGTACCTCAACTAGCTCAGAGCATTTGCACTGGGGTTCTGTGCCCTCCATCCTGGCTCCACTCAACCCCTGTGCCCTACAGCCCCACAGCCGCATGGTTCCCTCCTGGGCTGCCTGTTGACCTCATCTGATCCAGTTGAGCCCTTCTGTTGGGCAAGTGCTGGCCCTAGGAGCCCGGGGTGCAAGCCAACTACCCTGGGGTTTAGAGACGTGACTTGGGCCAATGCGACAGGAGGGAACGTTTTCTAGTGGCTTCTGGCGACAGTTGATCTCACCCTATGCTCACTGATCCTGTGATCTCTGTGGTGGACGCGGATGAGGCCCATGGCTGCCTCGGGCAGATCCCAAACCATCAGAAGGTGGGGCACACGGGCACTCCAGCTTTGGAGCCAGAGCCATTCTGATGCCGCCTCTCTCGGGGCACCAGTCAAAGCGCTTTGGCATTCTGTAAGCCAGTTATCGCTGCTTCCCCTCTCCTCTTCCCAGGGTATCCGTCTCCAGGATTGCTCAAGACCTGCAAGCGCAGTGGCGTAGTGTTCACACAGCCCATGCGATCCTCCTGTACCGTCTCGTCATCATTGGATGACTTAGGATAGCAAGTATCTCTTCTGTTCTCTCGGGCAACAATGACTAGAGCACCGCTTGCTCAGCATGGACGCAGCGTTTTCCCCAATAGCTTGGGCCAAGGCTGAATGGTTCCCTCACCTGGAGCACCTCGTCTGGGATTGCCTCCTGCCAGGACTCGGCCACGCAGAGCTGAGAGAAGGCGTTGCAGAGCACTTCAATGACACTGGGGGTGGCCGCACAGCTCCTCAGCACCTGCTGGGGTGGACACAACCAGGATGACCAGGCCCGGGGACGGTGGACATGGTTGGGGGAGGCTTGGGGTTCATGTCTGCCACTCCCTTGCCACGTGACTACAGCATGTGTGGGTTCAGGGCCATACTCTGCCGCCCTCGGGGACATTAGCAGGGAGTTGAATGGGAAGTGGAGTAGCTGGGACGCGAACCGGTTCCGACATGGGATGCCAACATTGCAGACAGCATTTTTACTCACTAAGCCATAGCTCTGGTACCCCAGGACACACTTAAAAAATAAATAAATATACTTTTGGGGCAGGCATTTAGCCATGCCAGAGGGGCTGGTTCGAGCACGGGCTCCCCAGCCCCACTCCTAATCCCTGCATCATGCCGCTTGGGAAGCAGCAGTGAGGACACTAGTCCCTGGGCCCACATGGAGACATGGGCTGAGTTCCCAGCACTCAACTCTGGCCCCAGTTGTTGCTGACATCTGGGAGTGAACCAGTGGACTTGTGTGTGTACATTATACATAAATATACATAAAACACATAAGTAACAACCACAGCATATACCAATCTCATAATTGTTAAGCATAATGCCAAATTCAATAAGCCCAGGTTTTTGCATTTCTTTTAACAACTCAATTTGGCTCGTAGCTTTATTTGTAGAGCTATTTTGCTAGGTTTTCACATCTGTTTATTATATTAACTTAGTGAAGCTAACTGCCCGAGGACCGTCTGTTTCTAGGACAAGGGCTGGTGGGTCTTGCATTTCCGTATTATCACAGCCTGGCACTTGATGGCCATTGTCAGAGTCTTCCATGTATACTGGGCTATTTTGTTAATCTGCATTTTCCTAGAACATGTTGTTCATCTTAAAGACATTTCACACTGAATAGAGGCTCACGGGAGGCTGGGAAGTGCTCACTGGCGAGGTGGGGGATGCGGCGTGCAGGAGCAGAGTGGGAGAGGGCAGTGCACTGGGGCTCTGCCAGATCTGAAGGCGAGTCAAGGGGTGGGCTCTCCAGACTGCCGGCCTTTCGTGGGGGACCCTTGGCAGAAACGCCACACCCAGCTGGTGTGGGGAAGGATGGGAGTGTGCCGTGATGGCCTCGGGCAGGGAGAGCCAGGGACAGCTCCCCACACAGAGCAAGCACCATTTTTCTCAAATGAAACTCATTGCAATTGTATTTTCAATTTTTTTTTGTGGTTCAATTTTTTTAAAAAAGATTCATTTATTCCTTATTGGAAAGGCAGATATACAGAAAGGAGGAGACACAGAGAGCTCCCAAGGCTTTGGGCTGTCCTCTACTGCTTTCCCAGGCCACAAGCAGGGAGCTGGATGGGAAGTGGAGCTGCTGGGATTAGAACTGGTGCCCATATGGGACTCCGGCACGTTCAAGGTGAGGAGGACTTTAGCCACTACACTATCTCGTCGGGCCTTCTGGTTCAGTTTTTTTCTTGTATATTTGTCTTATTTTCCCCACAAGGAACCAGCTATTGGATTTGTTGATCAGTCCTCATTTAAAGATTTATTTTTATTATTTTTTCATTGGAAAGGCGGATATACAGAGAGGAGAGACAGAGAGGAAGATCTTCCGTCCGATGATTCACTCCCCAAGTGAGCGCAACGGGCCGATACTATGCCGATCCGAAGCCAGGAGCCTCTTCCGGGTCTCCCACGCGGGTGCAGGTTCCCAAAGCTTTGGGCCGTCCTCAACTGCTTTCCCAGGCCACAGGCAGGGAGCTGGAAGGGAAGCGGGGCTGCCGGGATTAGAACCGGCGCCCATATGGGATCCCGGGTGTGCAAGGCAAGGACCTTTAACCACTTGCGCCACCACGCCGGGCCCGATCAGTCCTCATTTAGACTCCTCTGACCTATACCCTTTGTCTTATCCTTATGTTCTAACTCCTCTCTCTCTCTCCTCCTTATCCCCTTTTCCTATCTCTCTTCTCTTTCATCTCTATCTCTGCCTTTCAAATAAATAAATGCAAATCTGAAGAAATAACAGGTGTTTGCTACAGACCTCCTGTGTCCTGAACCGTGGCTGGAGCAGGGGCTGCCGGAGCAGGGGCTGCTGCAGCAGGGGCTGCCGGAGCAGGGGCTGAACCGTGGCCGGAGCAGGGGCTGCCGTGGCTGTAGCAGGGGCTGGCTCAGGCACCAGACGCAGTCATGTTCTGCTCGGTTCAAGTTCCATCTGCATGGATCACATTTATGTGGTGGAACTTGGGTGTGAGACTGAGATCAGAGCCATCTGGAACCGTTCTACTGCTTCCTCACATCAGCATGATCTTTCTTGTCCCGCAAGGGTCAGGATCCTCAGCCTGACAGCAACAGGCGAGTCTTCATCCTTCCATCCCTCCCTGCGCACCCCGACAGGGGTGACCTGCTTCTCTCGACTCCAGCACTGAACACACGCTGCATGCCAGCTGCTCTTGGCTGTCTCACGCATTCCCCTGGTCCCCCCTGCAAAATCCGGGCTCTCCTTCACCTGCCCTGCCCCGCTGCCCTGTGTGACCTCCCCTGCCCAGGAAGTGACAAGCCCATCGCTCTGTGAGTTAGCTCTCAGTCATCCTGACTCCTCACTCATCCCACATCCACAGCATCCCTGCTGGCTGTGCTTGAAGATCCCCCGCCGTGTGCAGGCCACTCTTGTCCTGCACAGGGTCATGGCCACAGCCCCTGAACGCCTGTGTTTCTCTTCCCCTCCTTGAGTATTTTGTGGATCCACACAAGATGCTCGTCAGGCAGTGGCAATCCTCTGCTTGAAGCTCCAATGGCCAAGGTCATCATCGTGTCCCTCAGGACTCAGCCCGAACTCAGCTTCCTCCCCTCTCCCTCTCCGCTCTCTCCTCCCACTGGCCCTGTTCCCATCCTGGTCCCTGTTGTTGAAGGTTCAGGTCAGGCCCACCAGGGCTGTGTTGGGCTGCACACTGTCCACTTGCTGTTCAGCAGCCCCAGGCACAGATTCTCCCTTCTCTGAGCCCTTAGGCAAGAGCCTCCCACGCACCTGCCTCGACCTTGCTGGAGCTGTAACAGCCTCCAAACAAAGGCATGAGGAAGGCATCTTTTTGAGCCATCAAGACAAGATGAATCTAGGATTACAGTATCCAAAGTCTCCCTGATACTAATGTTGCTGTCGGGATCCATGGGGGAATGGGGGGTTTTTATGCCTTGAAGAATAAGCCGTTTTCTCCTTGAATGTTATGTGGCATTTCCCCATGTCTTCTTACAACTTTCTTTTCTAAAATGTACACAGCTACATGTCTCCTGCTTGCAGGGAGCACACTTTGTAACACTGAAGAGTTCGGACTTGTGGTGCAGTCTGGTTCTGTGACGTCCTTGGTTATTTCCTGTCGACCTGCGAGTTCCTGCAGTAGCATCACCCGTCTGCAGATTCTCACTCTACTTTCTATCCTTCGTGACTATTATTTCCTTCTTACACTTCTTTGCTCCATTCTTTTTGTTTTTTGATTTACCAAAACTTATTTGGAAGGCAGAGAGAGCTCTTCCATGCGCAGGTTCATTTCCCAAATACCCACAACAGCTGGGGCTGGGCTGCGGTGAAGCCAGGAGCCGGGAGGTCAAGCCAGGTCCCCACACTGAGGCATGACCTGGGCATCCCCACCCTCACCTGCTGCCTCCCGGCGGGCGTGTGCGTCTGCAGGAACCTGGAACTGGAAGCCGAGCCAAGACTGAAACCCAGGGAGCTGCTGTGTTAAGCTCTCTGCCAGATGCCAGCCCTGGAGAACTCCACACACCAGCCCTCCTCCTTCCTGTGTCTGCCTAAGCTGTTCAATTAGCAAATCAGTGGTGGCAATCCCACTTCCTTGTCAGTAAGCAAATGTGGGGAGACTTTCTCAGAACCTCTAGAAAAAATCAGCAAATGGTATGAATGAGGAGGCTGCTTGGGAAGAACCATTCTTAGGACAGAACTGATTTGCAAAGCACGGCGGGGCAGAACGCACCTGGTTCCTTGGTGACATTGATGAGGGCACTGCTGGGCAATCCTGGGCTTGCATCTGTACATGTCACCGTGGGCCACGCTGACTGGTGGCCGCTGGAGTCACGGAGCAGATGCGCCGGGCGAGACGGGAGGAGAAGCAGTGTAGCTTCTCTGTTTTTCCTCACTCCCGTTTCCCGGGGTGTCTGCCCTGGGGGCCAGAGCCGGTGGAAACAGGACTGTGAGTTCAGCTGAAAGGAACCCAGCGGACAGTACAGAACAGCACAGAGGGATGGGAGGGCAGCCAGGCAGACGGCCCGGCACCCTGACAGATGGGGGCTCCATCCAGGTCTCCCACATGGGTGCAGGGCTCCAGCCACTTGGACCATCTTTCCCAGATGTGTAAGCAAGGAACTGCATCAGAAGCGGACAAGTCGAGGCCCAAATTGACATCCATATGGGATGCCACTGTCACCAGTGGTGGCTTTGCCTGCACAACACAACACTGGCACCAACCATGCTTTAAAAAAAAGCAGGGCGGAGGTCTTCCACCTGCTGTGCCAGCATCCCACGTGGGTGCCCCTTTGAGTCCAGCTATTCCACTTCCGATCAAGCTCCCTGCTTCTGGCCTGGAAAAGCAGTGACTCGAGCCCTTGGGTCCCTGCGCCCACGTGGGAGACCTGGCGGGGCTTCTGGCTCCTGGCTTCGGATGGCTCCAGCTCTGCCTGTTGAGACCATCTGGGGAGTGAACAAGCAGATTCTTTCTCTATGACTTTCAAATAATCAAATTGTTTACAGAGAAAAAATAAAAAGAAACTGCTCATCCTGTTGACACTGGCAGGTTTATGACGGAGGTCTCCAACCTGCTTCTAACTTACTTCCCAGCCCAGCGCCATCCCCGCGTGAGGCGGAAAGACAATTTGTCACAGAGGGAGTGACCAGTGGCCCCAGGAGCCCAGCGTACCCAGCCCAGCCCAGCCTGGTGCCCATCACAATTTCTTGCCAGCCAGGCACTATTTGCAGCCAGTAAGGCGTCAATTCTGTGGGTCACCCCTGAGTTCTTGCCCCTTCCACATGGGAAGGGAGTCCGACTACTCTGGCCGCAACCCTCCACCCAGGCTGTCCTAGCTGTGGTGCCTCTGGTTGTTCTCACTTCCTGGGCCTCCCTGGCCTGGCCTACTAGCAGCTCCTGGCTGGCCCTGTCACTTCCCTGCAGGATGCTTAATGGCTCCCGGGGACGGCTCGCCCACCCTCCTCCTCCCCTGCCCCCACCCGCAGGGCACAGACTGTGACAAAGTCTTATTGCCTCGTCTGGGGCAATCATTTCCTGTCTGTCCTCCGTTCCACCTCTCGGGGCTCCCCGGCAGCGGGCTGCCCGTTCACCAGCCAGCTGGCTGCCTTCATTATTTTTACGCCAACACAGTTTAAACATCTCCGCCGCCTCCTTGTGTCTGCCGAGGGGCGCCTGCCACATTACTCTGACATGCTGATGTCATTAGTGTCCGCGCACACTCGCTCCGGCTAATGAGGCGGCAGAAAGAAAATTAAGGGGGGAATCACAGAGGCGCGTTGCTTTGTATGTAGATGGAGAAATAAAACAAGAGTGAAGAGGGTAGGTGCCCTGCTCTTCACGGCCTCTCGTCTGGGTCCCCCATGCCCCCGAGGGGGCCCGGGGATGCCCCACTTCCTCCGTGGGGCTCTGCTCTGGGTTCTGGCCTTTCACTACTGCCACCCAGCAGTCTCTCATTCAAGATTCCATGAAGTGGGGGCAAATTTGCCAAGTCGTTTCCCCCAGTTCTGCAATTCTGATTTCCCAGCATTGCCAGTGCCCACAAGAGGCAGGCAGGAAGCTGTGCAGATATTTCTAGAATCTGTCACTTTTGCCAACAACCTCTGCCTCCCATTCCAGCTCTCAGCATCTCTCACCTGACAGCCCGTGCTTGACTCTCAGTCCCCACCCCGGGCGCTGCCTTTACTCATTCTAGAATGTTCATTTGACGGGGTCCCCTCCTCTGCCGCTCCTGGGCCCAGGCCCAGCCCCTTCACAAGGCCCCATGCCCTCCCCTCTCCAACTCCTGGGTCATCTTCCAGGCCATTCGCTCGCACAGCTTCTCCTATTTCGCTGTCCTCTGTTCACAGAGGTGTTCCTGGCCTTCATGCTTCGCCTGGCAGAGCCCCTGATGCTCCAGGCAGGTGAAGCCTCTGTTGGGTACTTTGGAGGGGACATGGGCTTTGGGTGTGCAGCACGGCAACTTCACACTGGTGCAGGTTAGACCCACGGACACGCAGCTATGTGAGGTCCGTGTGCTTTCGGACCTCAGCGCCAAGCCAGGACCCAGTGCGGAGGCTCCCATGAAATGCGTGTTGAAGAAATGAACCTGCCGCACAGGAGCTGGTGTGACTTTGGGAAAGCAAGTAACACAAGGTGCTGGGGAGCTAGAACTCACCAGTCATAGGTGATGAATGCAAACGAGAAGCCAGGTGGCATGGAGGGACAGGGCAGCGGCTCCCATGGAGGTGGACAGGGAGGGTGGTGGATTGAGGATGCGCGGCCTCTGTGACTCTGGGCAGCTTGCGTCTGCAGCCTCGAGGGTGCTGGACCCAGTTGCTTTTGGGACTCTGGGGCTCCAACATTTTCTTAGCAGGTTGATCCAGAAATGCTCCCTCTCACATGAAGGATGGGCAGGGAGGGCTGTGCGGGAATGGACCAGGGCACTGAGATCGCCCTGTCAATTCTTCCTGCGGACAGCCAAGAAGAGAAACTCCTGGAGGGCTGGTTGCTCAGGCCAAGCACTCGCAGCAGGTGGCTGCACCTGCCCTTGCCTCACTGGATGCTCTCCCAGGCCTGGCCCCACCCTGACCTCTCACCCTCCAGAATACAGGCCTGGCTGCACCTGCTCTCGCATCTCTGTCCCTGTGCTGGGTCCTGACCATCAGGCAGTTGGCCTGGTCAACAGGGTGGTTCTCCAGGCAGCGACGCCTCTGGTTTGGTTTTCAGGGCTGAGCCCCACAAAGGACCCAGATGGCTGCTTGGTGTCCACCTGCTATGGCACTCAGCCCCAGGGCGTCTCTGTGCAAGTTCACTGCCATTAGTTTCTGGCAATCTGCATAGGGGCACCTGCTAGAGGTGCATCCTGAGTTCAACACAGGCTTGGAGTCTGGAGCTGTGGGCACCCCTTTCATTCATTCAACAAATATTGGCTGCAGGTGCTGGGGCCGGCATGCGCAGTGTCCGGGAGGTAACAGTGAACACTTTTCTTTGGGGGCGAGCCTCAGGATCCTGCTTGTCTCAGAGGCACCCCAATTATTTCCATAATGCTCTGGCATCGACTGGGGGTTGCTATCCTCCCAGGGAAAAGCACCCACCATGCTTTCCTGTCCTTCTCCCATACACACTGCCCACTTCTAAGCCGAATAGGAGCTGGACCACACCACCAACGGCAGCCCATTCTATGGAGCTGGCACAGGACGGGGGGACTCAGGAGAGGGCCGCTGAGGCTCAGAGATGAAAGATTGTGCCTTGTCTTCTGTTTCCTGGCCAGGGAGGGAGATTCATGCAGCACTGGAGATGGAGCAGGTGTTTGGGCTTTTGTCCCCAGGGGCAAGAATTGGGCAAACATCCCTCAAATGGAAATGCTTTCAAGGCAAACAAAAAACTTTTTATCACTCTTGAACTATGTTCCCACCCTAAGTATTTTCCACTAGTAACATATGCTTCTCCCTCTTTCTAAAGATGTATTTATTTATTTTAAAGGCACAGTTAGAGAGAGATCCATCTTACACATGCTGGTTCACTTCTCAGATGGCTGCAACAGCCAGGGCTGTGCCAGGCCGAACCCAAGAGCCGGGGACTCCATCGGGATCTCCTATGTGAGTGGCAGGGGACCAAGAACTTGGGCCATTTGGGGCTGCTTTCCCAGATGCCTTGTCAGGACTGGAGCCAGTGCACCAGTGGCACAGGTGGTGGCTCAACTAGCTGTACCACAGGGCTGACCCCTAAATGGGCTTCTCTCATCTTTTTAAAAAAGACTTATTTATTTTTATTGGAAAGGCAGATTTACAGAGAGGAGATCTTTCATCTACTGGTTTGCTCCCCAAGTGGCCACCACAGCCAGAGCTGCACTGATCCGAAGCCAGAAGCCAGGAGCCAGGAGCCAGGAATTTGTTTCAGGCGTCCCACACAGGTCCCGAGGCCATTCTCCACTGCTTTCCCAGGCCACAGGCAGAGAGCTGGATGGGAAGTGGAGCAGCTGGGACGTGAACCAGCACCCGTATGGGATCCCATCATATGCAAGGTGAAGGACTAGCCTGATGAGCCACCGAGCTTGCCCCAGGTTGTGTAATTTCCATTCAGATCAAAGGTCCATTGCCATAAGAGACTGATTTCCTTCGTTCTGAAAAATACACCGAAAAGTGAGCTGCTAAAATATTTTGTGCATCGCAGGCATTATGGAAATGTACCTGCTGTGCCCAAGTGCCAGCGTCCATGGCATCTGTCCTGGCTTGCTGGTGGACACCCTTAGTGCCAGGAAGGCTCCAAGGTCTTGCTCTTCAAAGACACAAGGGTGAGGGTGGGGGAGTCTCGGGACCAGTCGTTAGAAATACAGACTCCCACCCCAAGATCTGCATCTGAACAAAGCCCCAGGGTGGGCCTGGACTCAAGAGGAGGGTGCTGCATGTAACCCAGCTCGCACGGGGATGCCCCCTGGTTCTTGCGGCTCAGGCCAGTCTGGCAGGGTCGCTTCTTACCTTGGGGAAGGCGTCTGGCCACACGGTGGGCGAGCCGTGGTTGAGCAGTGCTTGCACGGTGCGCTGCGGCTCTGCCTCGGGCACGCAGGTGGCCGTCTGCAGCACGCGTGCCAGCGGCGAGGCACCGCCGTAGTCCAGCGCGCCCGCGTTGGCGCCAAGCCGCAGCAGCAGGCGCACCAAATCGTGGCGTGCGTGGCAACAGGCCTCGTGCAGCGGGCTGCGCTCGTCTTGGTCCCGTGCGTCCACCGCCGCCCCGTGCCCCAGTAGCAGAGCGCATAGGCGCAGGCAGCGCACCTGCTCGTCCGGCTGCCACACTGAGCCACACGCCGTACTCAGGGCAGTCTCCCCGCGACTCAGGTAGAGGCGCGCGTGCTCGTCCAGGCCATGCTGCGCCGCCACGTGCAATGGGTGTCCTGGGCTGGACCGCCCGCGTGCTGCACCGACGCTCCGTGCTCCAGCAGAGCCCGCGCGCACCTGCAAGGAGGTCAGATCCGGTCACCCCGGGAGTCAGCGGGAGCCGTCCAAGCTCTCCACACCACTGGCGAGCTGGCGCCTCACAATATGTGGGGTGACCCCGGGAAAAAGTGTGCCACTTGGGGTTTCCCGTGCCAAGAACTGGGGAGGACAACCTGAGCTGGGGGCAAGAAATTAAGGTGAACTGAGGGGCCAGGTCCCAGGTGGGAAACAGGAAGAGTTAGAGTTCAGGGCTTGGCAGGCGGGGTGCGCTTGGGCAGGCAGCAGGTGCAATGACTGCTCTGTGCACTGGGCCGGGTGCGCATGAAAGCAGGGGGCTGTGCCAGTCCCTTAGGAGGACTCTCTGGCCAGCCTTGCCTCAAGGGCAGCAACACACTGCACTGCAGGGTCCCAGTGTTGGGAACAGGAAGTGGAAACCAACCACACCCAACTGTGGGCTTGCCTTTGCTCCCACCAGACTCCCCCTCAACTGAGAGGGGCTTCCCCAGTGGTCTCTGGAAGGAAGCCGTGCAGCCTTGGGGTTCACCGGCCGTCCAGAAGTGGTCTCTGCCGCCAAGGCCTTTCCCAGGCTCTGTTCCTGCCGTCCTCCGGACCACTGGGGACCCCTCACCCTCAGCTCTGGTGGTGGCTACTGGCTGGCAGGCCCACAGAGGACCTCGTGGCCTCAGAGAGGTCCTCAGTCTGTGCCCCCTAAAGTGGAGGCCTGACACAGGGACACTCATCATTTCTACTGGGGAAACACCTGCTGTTGTTACCCGCTGGACACTGTCTTTGGCTGAGAGGTTCCAGAACCCACATTTGAGAGCACAGCCCCTGGTCCCTAGGTTCCCGCAGCCCCTGGCCCCTGGGTTCCCTCAGTCCCTGGCCCCTGGCTCCCTGGCCCCTGCTACCAAAGGTTTCTCCCTCTCTCCCCCACCTTGCCACACAACTCAGCCCCCTTGGGCGCCCTGGGGACTCACTTTGCTGTCACATGCTCCTTGTTTTCCCCCTGTCCTTGAATGCCTCCCCCCACCCTCACAGCTGCTTGTCATTCAGCCCTGTGGGAGCCATCTTTTAGTAAGCACTTGAACGGCACCCTTCCTCCACTTCCACCATCACTGTCTGCTTGAGGCCAGCTCATTCTTTGCTGGAATATTCCCCACTCTCCTCATTTGTCCCTGACACAGCCTAAGAAGCACAACACCCAAGAACAAACCTCTCTCCATGCTTCGGGTGACCAGCGCCTGTCTCAGTGTCAGCAGCTGCTGCCCCCACCCCACTGGGGGAAGCTCCCGCTGACTGCCCTGGGATGCTATATGCTCTAGCTCCTGTGGGTACCACGGTTTAAATGTATGTGCTGAGGTCATGTGCAAGCAGCAACAGTGGCCCTGGGAACGTGGCTGTCTGGGAAGGCATTAGTGGCAGTTAGATCCAGCTGGTTGCCCCTCTAGCCCTTGCAAGCACACTTCCCTGCCCTCTGCCCTGGCCCGTAGAATGGATCGGCACAAAGGCCTTGCCAGATGCCATGGTGGCCTGCTCTTTACTGTCACAACCTCCAGGACGGTGAGCCATGGGCCTGCGCCAGCTGGCCTTGCAACCCATGGCTGTAATCTCGCCTGGTTCTCACTGCGCACCCCACGGTGCAGGCTCTAGGTTTGCAGTGGGACGGGTGGTGCTCCTGCTCCCGGGACAGCTCCACACTCCTGTCTGTCCTTCCTTTTCCTCCAGAGCCGTGTGTGCTGGCCCAGGCATCGTGCGTGCTTCACCCAGTGTTTCAAGGCTGGCATGGCGAGTCAGGTCCCTCTTCTAGGACGCTGAGTTTCCTGGGAGTCCAAGAAGGGACTGTTTTTAATCTCTGTTCGATCCTGGTGCCCACGGCAGGGATTCCGGGACAGCAGGTTGGACGTCAGCTTTGGCTGGGTTGTGTCTTTGGGGTTCCCCACGCTGTTGCTGGGTGAGCTGGTATTCGCCTACGGGAAGGTCATTTGTAGCAGATACCCTAAAATCCTTACTCCCAGGGACTCTTGGTCATTCACATTTAGCCTCTCTGAAAGTAGCTAGGATGCCATGGGTGAGAGCTCGACAGGTGCCGTGCTGTCACACGCCCTTTGGCACCGTTACTGGCATGGCGGGGGTGCTAACGTTCAGTCAGGGCGCTGGCGTTGGCTTGCTCCCTTCTCGCCTCCCTGGCAGGGATTTTCAGCTGTGCAGCAGGAGGTTTCCGAATCACTTTGTGGGCAAGCCCACGTGTGCTGGCAAACCCTTACAAATGCCTTCCTCCTCTGTCCTTGCCTTGGAAGAGCTCAGCCTTTCCCAGGAAGCCCACAGGGAAAGAGTGGCGGCCCTGCTTTCCCCAGCCACAGCCTAGCTAGCGGCTGCCGGGTCTGCTGTTTGCCACATAGACGCCATGGAGGGGTTTGGGGGATACTGGCCCCCTCCACTGGGCAGCCTTTCCAGTGACAATAAGCATCTAATTGGCTAAACCTTGGCACTTTCCTACAGCAGGCAGTGGTTGAAGCCACAGAACCAGAGCACAGGAATGAGACCAGCCTACTGACAGAGGATGGAGCAGGTGTCGGTGCGAAGTGAGGTGTGGGAGCAGAGTGGCGGCCTGGAAGGTGCTCACGGTGCTGTGCAGGGATTCCAAACAGCACTGTGCAGAGCTGCTGTTATGTTAAGGATTCCTTTGCTATTTCACAGGCAGAGTCGCAGAGTGAGGGGCAACGGTACAGACAGATGATAGACAATAGATACTCGACGGCTAGAGGGTCTTTCACCTGCTGGTTCATTCCCCAAGACGCCACGCCAGCCGGATTAGGCATGAAACCAGAACCAGGAGCCTTTCCCTGGACTCCCGTGTGGGTGCAGGGACACAGGGCCTTGGGCTATCCTCTGCCTGGGTGCTCCCGAGTGGGTGCAGGGACACAGGGCCTGGACCACCCTCTGCTGGGTGCTAATGCACCCAGGTGCGTCAGCACAGAGCTGGATTGGAAGTGGGGCAGGCAGGACACGCTGCTGCTCATATGGGTGTCAGTACTCATACTCCATGACACTGGCCCATGGCCTATTTTCAAAAGTACCAACAGAGGGGGTATGTTGTGGCATGGTGGCTAAAGCCGCCAGCTGCTATGCTGGTATCCCACAGGAGCATCAATTTGTGTCCCAGCTGATCCAGCTCCTTACTAATGACCTGGTGGACGCAGTGGAGAACAGCCTAGGAGTGTGGGCCCCTGCCACTCAATGTGGGAGACCCGTAGGCAGCTCCTGGCCCCTGATTTTGGCATGGCCCAGCCCTGGTCATTGCCACCAATGCATGGAAGAGTTCTCTGACTTTCAAATAAATAAATAAGTCTTTGATAAAAAGGGGGAAAAAAAATAGAAGTTCTCTCTTTCTCTATGTATATGAAATATTCTTTGGAAAGTTTCTGAAAATGAGTATCATGAAAAAAACCTATGCCAATTTTTTTCCCCACCGAAATAAACTGACCTCTTCATTTCCTTTTCCGCAGGCATCCTCGGTGCCCCTGTGTCCGGGTGGAGAGACCCTCATGGTCTAACTCCAGGCGGTGGGATGGAGGGCTTCATGTCCCTTCACCTGCCTCTATTTCCAAGTTTTCCCGCAAGTCAGTGGAAGACACTTCCTGTCTCCCCACAGGGGCCCCTGGCTGCGGAGGGGCCGGGCCCGTGGAGACCTTGGCGTGTCTTTCTGTGCCCAGATGCTGGATCCCATCTGACAGAGAGAGCTCTAAACAGCGTTCAGCCCGACAGCTGACAGCGAGCTCCACCTGGGTTCCCCCATGGGTGGCAGGAATGGCAGGAAGCCGGGTAGTTGAGTCAGGTGAGGAGCTGGGACGCAAGCCCAGGTGCTCCACGGCTCCAGGGCTCCAGGGCTCCAGGGCTCCAAGGCTTCAGGGCTCCAGGGCGCCACAGCTCCAGGGCTCCACAGCTCCAGGGCTCCAGGGCTCCACAGCTCCAGGGCTCCAGGGCTCCAGGGCTGAGGCTGAATTAATTTGCACTTCAATGAGCACTCGGGGAACCCTTTCACTTACTTGCTAGTGTGCTTTCTGGGAAGTGTCTGGTCAAGACAGACACTCAAAGGGTAAAGTTTTAACTTGGCAATAAGATGGGACTTGACAAGTGACCAGAACACCGAGGCTTCTGTCTGGGGTGCCCCATGGGGGCAGGCTCCTCAAAGACCTCGTTTAAAAGGTGGTGGTGTGGGCCAGCGTGTTGACTCAACTGGTTAACCCTCCATCCCCAGGTGTACTTTGCTCAGTGCGAGGTTCAATGGCTAAATCTTCATCTTGCAAGTGCCGGGAGCCCATATGGGTGCTGGTTCTGTGTTTCGGCTGCTCCACTTCCCATCCAGCTCCTTGCTTATGGCCTGGGAAAGGAGCAGAGGATGTCCCAAAATCTTGGGACCCTGTACCCACATGGGAGGCTCAGAAGAAACTCCTGGCTCCTAGTTTCAGGTCAACTCAGCACTAGCTGTTAAAGCCATTTGGCGAGTGACTCAGTGGATAGATCTTTCTGTCTCTCCTCTTCATAAATCTGATCTGCCTTTCCAGTAAAAATAAACAAGTCTTAAAAAAAAAAAAAGAACAAAAGGCACCCCAGTCAACCCTCCATATCTGTGGGTTCCACACTCATGGATTCAGCCAAGCCTGAGTTAAAAAGCCATACACCTGTGCTGCACATCTTGTTATTCCCTAATCAGATGGGATCACAGCCGTCAACAGCACAACAGGTGTTACCCAGTCAACACACCTGGGAGCTCAGGTCCTGTTCTAGGCAAATGCCACACCATGTCACACAAGGCACTGGCTCCTGGACTCCCACGGGGCCCCAGACCATCCCTTACAAACCGTGTTTTGCTTATTTCTGCCCAGATTCTAGCCTGCTGGGCCAGAGCAAGACATCATGACTTCTGGCCATGCGATGACTTGTCCCTGCCTAGGAGGGTTAGCTGCTTTCTCAGGTCCAGCCCTATGGGGAGCGGGGTGCCGAAGCTGCTCTCTGGA